TTATGCATCTTGACTACACAGTAGCTAAAGTCACAAAGCCAGGAGGAGAACACATGAGAGGCAACAAATTCTGTAGTTTTTTTTGTTGGGGACAGTCCCCTTGGAAAGGGAGTTGTGGATTTCAGTCCCTGCTCCCAGCACAATTTATGAATTTTACTTTAGACAGTCATTGGCTAAAAATGGGAAAAAAAGTGTTCTATTGTCTCCACAATAGAAAACAACATGCAACAGTTTTACTTTATTTTTAGTTCCTTTGGAAGGTCTAAGAAGTCAAAGCCAATTTGATGAGATGAGAGCAAGTTACATTAGAGAACTGGTCAAAGCAGTTGGATTGCGCCAGAAAGGAGTAGTGGCCAACTCACAGCGTTTTTATCAGCTTACGAAACTCATGGACTCCATGCATGATGTAAGTTTGCTGGGGAGTGGGAATTATGCCAGAAACAAATAACATTGCTTAAACTCAGTGTGAATAGTGTCGATAGGAATATTGAGGTGTCCAGTTAAAGTTTATTTTTATTTATTCCTTATTTTAGGGCAAAACCATTTTTTTTCAATCAAATTAGGTGTTCATAACTTTATGTATAGGGGATTCAATGCAATGTGAAGAACACATTTTAAAATGTCACTTCACTTTCAATATTTCTAGTAATATTAGGTCAGAGATCTTATGCATATATGTGTTGGTACAACATCGAAAAAATAAAAATATTATTAAGGTTGTAAAGTCAAATATTTGAAAATTAGTAAATGCCAAATAAAAGTACAACCTTAATGCGGCCCATTTGCATGAATACATTATAGTCACATAATGTAGTCATGTACTCTTTTTTTTTCCGCAGGAGAACCATCTAAGTTCTGGTAACTTTTGAGTGTTAAGTTTTGCAGCCATAATATTTTGAAGTAATTATGTGTGTTGAATTTCCAAATTTTTAAAATGGAAAACTGGAAAAAAAAAATTAGAAATTCAATCATGTGGCATCATATTGTAATGGGTTGGGTTAAACTGCATTGAAGCAAGCAGTCTTCTTGCACCCCAAACAAAGGTACATGCAAAGTACATGTGAGCAGGGAGGTTTAGCTGACTATAGTTTTGTGTTGTTTTCTATAAGAGGCAAGAAAAGAAGAGATGCTAAGAAGCTAACAAAGAAGCATCTAATGCAGTCTGGACAAGGGATAGGCGCAGTTCTCTGAGAGAGAGCCTGAAGAGAGAGATTCAGAGCACAGACTCTTAGATTGAGTGTTGGGTGAAAGGAGTCTGGAGTTGTGAGAAAAGATGCGGTCTCTTTCTTGTTGATTCCTTCGGTGTTCACAAATGCGGCACTTTATGGACATTCTTTGTAAGTAAACAGGGTTTTATGTGAGGCCTGGACAAAAACATATTTACATTCCCCTAGTGGGGTGTTATACTAGAGTGAAAAAAGAGCAGACAGGCAACATTAATTCCCACACAGAAGTAACTTTACCCCACCTGGTACAAAATTACCTTTGAAAGAGTAAGAGATAAAACTCCTTTGAAGGAACCCACATCAGTATGGATGGTGTCTGTCAGCATCCATTCCAGTGTAGCTGTTTGCTTATGGCAGTGGTTCTCAACTGGGGTCCCATGAAACCCACCTGGGGGTGCTGTGACCCGAGTGTTATGGTGGCAGTGGCATCCAGGTAAAACTGACCTATGTGTACTTCTGCATTAGGGCTCTCTGATCAGCCTAAAGCAGGCAGGATCTGGCTGAGGCTTCCCAGTCTGGCCCCCACCATACTCCTTCCAAAAACAGGGGAACATGGGATCATTCCACCTGCATGCCTCTATGCCTAGGAGAACCTTGGCCAGGGAGGGGTTAGACCAGGAAATGTTGCAGCATGAGAGAGTCCTCTTGCCTGCTTTAGACTCATCAAAGAGCCCTAATGCAAGAGGATTGTATGCACATGCCACAGCCCTTTCCTGGCTGGCTGTGCAGCAGGCACAGGGCAGTTTTATCTGGAGGCAGTAGCACCTGGTTGAGAAGCACTGAGGTAAGTTGAGGCAGCACCAACAGTGGTCCTCAGCTACAGGTAATGCCACATTAAAAAAAAAATGGTGGAGGACTGCTGTGATGCTGAAAAATTGAGAACCACTGGTTTAAGGCTGCCAGACTGGGGATTTTTGCCTTCCTCTGTAGTAGGCAGGTAGGTTGGGCTGTCTTCCTTGGATCTCTCAAGTATATATTAACAACCTTTACAGCAGCAAGATGTTGCTCATGGTGGTCTCCCTACGTTACCTGTGGTAGGTTAGGGTGTTATGTCTTGTGGTTTTATCAAGGTTGACTATAGTGTTGCTAATAAGGTAGACAATAGAATTGTATAAGATGGTTTGGATAGGGACGATCCTGCCTCATGCTGAACTACATGACCTCTGAGGTCCTTTCCTGCCCTACATTTATATGATTTTGTGATTTTAGTCAATCCTGTCACAGTGGCGAGGTATTGTAAGAACAGCCTACTGTATTCAGCTACCTAAAAATAGCTGCTTATCTGTCTCCTGACCCTGATCCTGTGGGCTATATATTAATGTAAGCTATACCGGTGCAAATGGGCCATCTTTCTAGGCTCTAAGAAATGCCTGTTTTCCTTTCCAATTTCTTCTCCTAAAAGGAACAAGATCCCAGTTTTTGGCTAATCAGATGGTTAACAATTTTGATACTCAGCAGCCTGATCCTCTGTTTCAGATCTTGTGTCTTGAGCTAAGGGCTTACAAGTAAAGCAGGACTTCAGCAATGCGGTACCTAATTTCTATGTACCATTCTGCCTAATGGAATTCACAGTCCTGGGTTAGATTCCAAAAGCCAACATGTCCAAAGGCACCTCACTTGGAAATGCCACGGAGAATGTAATTAGATTCCTATCTTCCCGTAGGCCTCTCAGTGTTCAGTGTTTAAGCCAGATCAGCCTTTCCTCACACAGAGAGAGATTGGCCTACACCATTGTACTCAATAAGACAGCAGTTAGTAAATTTACTTGAGAAGTAGAAACTTTGTTTGCCTGATTTGGAGCAAGGAGTTGCAAGCTGCTCATCCCAAAGTCCACATAAGTGCCTAGCTAACTATAGAGTTAATCTCTTGCTTCCAAATATTTAATTATTCAATAATGTATTGATACAATTAGCATTAGCTAATTAAAATAATGCATTGATTCAATTTAAATTACTCATGCAAAATAGAATAGCCCTGACAGGAGAGACTGGAACAGTCACTCTGGAATAGCTAACAGAGATTCTATTGACTAAGGCAGTCCCTTGGAATAGGGGAGACTGACATTCCTTCTCTAAAGTGTCCTTTACTGCCACTGTTGGAGACAGGACACTGGGTCTGATGGACCACTGGTCTGACCCAGTATAATACTTCTTATATTCATATATGCAAGACTGGGATATACACAAATGGCAGTATTCAAATTCCCTTGGTCTCTAGGGCCATATATGGACTACAGGGCTCCTCATTGGCCAAATATGAATCTAACTCTGGCAGTGGGGCCAGCAGCAGTGGTGTATTAACTGCTGTGGCCTGAGCCACAGGGATTAACACCCATCATTCACTTCTCTGACACCAACATGTATTCCCAAAGGCCTCCATACATTTGGCAGCATTCCCTCCCCCAATTTCCTGGCTCTTCCAGGAGCCCTGGGGGCCAGAGGATATGGCTGCATGAGCTGAATCTGCCCCATGGGCCATATCTTTTACACTCTTGTTTTAAAGGGAGAGGATATGAACAGGGCAAGTCTAAACTGATCCACTCCCTGTGTATCCTCCCTGCCATTTACTATCATTAGTTTAGGGAAGTTAGAGGATAAAACTTTTATTGCTCTGTTTAATAGCTATTAGTAAACATATCCTCCATGAATTTGTCTAATCTCTTTTTCAACCTGGCTGTACTCTCCATCTCTACAACCACCTGTGGCAACAAGTTTCACATGTTAACTGTGTGCTGTATGACAATAGTTTCTCACGTGTGCTTTAATTTTAGTGGGTGACCCATAGTTCTTCTATTCTGGGTCTTGGTGAATAACAGTTCCTTACTCACTTTGCCCACACTTCATGATTTTCTAGACCTCCTATTTTGTTTTCAATTCCATTCTTAATGATGCTCATCATTTTATTGGCTTTTTTTGGTCATTGCTGTGCATTTAGCCCAAGTTTTTAGAGAATTATCTAAGAGAAACTAAGTCTCTTTCCTGAGTCATAGGGCATGTCCTGCCGAGCATGCACATGCCTCTTGCCCCATCTCAAACCCCTTTGAGATGGGGCAAGAGGCACATGCAGGAATGAAAAAATGTTCCCCATACTGCAAACTTGCGGTGTGGGGAGAAAATTAGACCCCTGGATATCCAGGGTTCAAAAAAAAAAAAAAACACTCTGCAGAAGAGCAGAGCAAGGCATGGTCCCAGACCATGCCCAGAGCCATCAGGGAGTCAGTTCTCCAGAAGAGATGCTCTGCTTTTGGCTAGAGCATCTCTTTGGTGCTCCTGCTGCCCCCGGCCCCCGGCACTGTCCAAGGTAAGTGGGGGAATGGGGCCGGCGGGCAGGTGTTCATGGGTGTGGGTGGGTGTGAAAGGTGGCAGGGGAATGTGGCGGGGTTTGGGGAGTGGCAGGGGTGATGACACTGGGGTTGCAGGGGGTGAGGACCTGGCCCAGACTGGTGCGGCTTGCTAGTCCGGCTTTGTACCAGAGCGAGTTGCACAGCTCTGGGAGCCTTCCAGAGCTGTGTTACCTGCTCCAGTGCAAAGCCAGACTAGTAAGCCACACAGGGCTGGGCCATGTCCCACCACACGCCACCTCCCCGCAGGCACAGTGGAGCAGAGGCGGTACCTGGCGTGATGCCCAGGCAGATAGTGTGCCAGGTCCTGCCAGCCCTGGGGCCCCTCTGCTGCCTGGCCAAGCTGGTCCCATGGCAGCAGGACCCAGCGCAGTGCGCAGGAACTGTGTGCCGGGTCCTGCTGGCCTTGGGACCCCTCTGCTGCCCAGCTGGGCCAGTCCCATGGTAGGAAGACCCGTCACGGCATACAGGGACTGATTGTCAGGCCCAGCCGGGTCCTGCCAGCCCTGGGGCTGCTCATGTTGTGTTGGGCGGGCCACACGAGCAGCCCCAAGGCCAGCAGGACCTGCTGGGCCCAGCACACAGTCCCCAAGTGCTGATAGCTGGCAGCAGCAGGCTCAGAGCGCCCCACTCCCACTGCTTCTGCAAAAGGTAAGTTATGGGCCCTGGGCAAGGGGGCTGGGGCCCTCCAGGGTGCCTGGTACCCTGGGCAGGGGGGATAGGGCCCTCTGGGGGATAGGGGCTGTGGCCCTCCAGGGGGGGGTTGGGGTCCTGGGGGGGGGATAGCATTCCATGTGCTGTGTGGGGGGACTGCACCCTGTGGGGACCAGGGGACCCACCACTCCTGAGCGCTCCCTGACAAGGTCCCCACAAGTGCACCCACACTGTCCCCCCAGCAATTGCCCTACACCTACCCACATACCAACCCACATCCCTTCTCTCACACACACACACACACACACACACACACACACACACACACACTCCCACCCCCCTCCTGCAAACACCACATTCCCCACATCATGCATCCATCATGTGCGAAGAGAACCAAAAGCACACACCAACACATATAGGTATTTAGAATTTATTTTATCATGCTGATGGACACACTGGTAGACTTCCAAATTACTTTAACATTGTAAATATACCAATAAAGCATTGCCCAACTGATCGGTCTCTCTCTTTCTCTCTTTAGATGTGTGTGTGTGTGTGTGTGTGTGTGCGCATGTGTGTGTAGAGTGGTATTTTGTTTTAATTGTGGAAGAACGTGAATTTTGGGGTATTTTTAAAAATGGCTTTGGGATGCTGCTGCAGCAGTCCAGCTGGCATAAGGGGTAGTATACCCATGTACCAATTGGCTGGGCCCTAGAAGCTCCTGAGAGTGAGTAGCCCTAAGCTGCTTGCCAGGGCTGTCTTTTTGTATGGATGGGGCCAGGACAGGGCAGCTTTTTATACTGCTGGGGCCAGCACAGGTGCTGGCCCTGGGCTCTAGCTCCCCCTGGGTACAGGTCTGGGAGGAGCTGGGCGGGGTTATTTTGCCCCAAGTGGCACAATTTGCTCCACAACAAAGTGCATGTCCGAGCACGTGCACTGAAGCAAAAAGCCCCGGCTCAATTTCATACCACTTCTATTTGAGCTGCTGCAAGCGCACGTGCTCGCATGTGTGGATGTGCCCATAATGGCTAATTCAGAACCCAGTTGAGGTTATTTTTCCCGTTGATAAGTACTCACTGGGCGCGTCTACGTGTTCATTAATGCACTGTAGTTGCCATGCATTAAGTTTCAGTAGTAGCCTAATACTGCTGCACAGTAGTGTATTAGCATATTTTTTTCCCGACAAGCTACTGTGCAGTGTTACTAGGCTACTGTGCAGTTAGCGTCTCATGTAGATGCAGCCATTGAGCACTATGATCAGAGCATGAGGATAGTTGAAGTCAGGCCCCGGAAGGATGCTCAGATTATGGAGGGATTTAAACCCCACCCTGCCTGCACAGTCCTAGGCTTTTCCCCACTCACTGCTCAGCTTATGTGCACTGAACTTATGTTCTGTTACAGGTTTAAACCAGTTTCTGATCACTTAAACCAGTTTATAGTAAGCAAAATAGAATGCACGCAGTAGATCAAAGGTAAGAAGCACCCACTACCTAGCCACATTGAGGCTTCTAGTAAACTAAGATCACAGAACAGTTTCCTCTCTACAACACAGCTACTGATGAAACACCAAAAGCCAGATGAATAAAAATGTGGCATTCACAAGTAGAGATGACCTAGGAGGGAGTTAGGATGATTATCAAATATATTTCCCTGGGGACATTTCCTTTCAAGCACAGCTTGATTGAAAAACACAGAGAAGCTTGAATTGCCCCTGAACAAGGAGTCAGTAAGATTAAGCATGCAACTGTGGGGCTACTGTAATGACACAAAACTATGTGCAGAGAGGAAGAAACTTTCAGACTATAGAACACTTACTGGCTTGCCAACATATTGGGAAACAATGCACCAACAAGGACCTTGATAAAGCTGCAATTCAAGCAATAGTATGTGTCCAGTTTTGGACTCAAATTTGAACATGGTAAAAGGCCACGAGAAGAGGTAGTTCCTTTTATTCAAGCACAGAATTTCTCACCACAGAGATTCTATGATATTTTCCCTTTCAGATAAGATTTTATATTGTTACTATCTATGCTATCCTTAATATACATTGCCATTCTTCCACATGCACATCCTACTCTGTAACTCCTATACAGTTTGTGTCCTAGTATCCTTCCATGAAGTCTCTGAGGGTGTGTTTACACATTCATTAATGCACTGTAGTTACTGTGCATTAAGTTTACTATTGTATAAATAAGTACTAAATCAGTGCACAGTAACTGGTGTTACTATGCAGTAGTGCTGGCACACACCTTTTCAGTGATGCTACTGTGCAGTAGCCTAATAATACTGTGTAGTAGTGTATTAGCACTGTTTCTGCCATGACACCATACTGCTCATTATTATTATTAGGCTACTATGCATTTAGCATCTTGTGTAGATGTGCCCTGAGGTACCAATTTTGTTAATATCACCATTTAATGCCAGTCATTCTAGTTTACCCATTGGGTTTCTAGCATTTGTGTAGAAACACCTAAAATTTTTATCCTTGCCTCTTATTGCAAGTGTCATTTGATTGGGACCTCTAACTGTCCTGACTTACCCTCACTATTGTTTGCATTTACATTTCCTACTCTCTTTCTTTCCTTTTCAAGAGGGCATAGAATTTGTATGATGTCCCCTTTTAGGCTTGTGTTAATTCAAACCATGTGTTCTTCCACACCTGTTGGCTTTGTGGGTTTTTAGTTTTAAAACTCCTTTAAGACCTTTTGATATTTTAGTGCCAGCAATCTGGCTGCATCTTGGTTCAAGTGGAACCCATCTTTTCTATACAGGTTTCTTGTGTCCTAGAAGGTTTCCCATTTCCTTCTAAACCTTAACCCCTCATCCCTACACCATTGTCTCATCCATGCATTTAGACTCAGGAGCTTTGCTTGTTTGTCTGGCTCTGTGGATGGAACTTGAAGCATTTCAAAGAATGCTACCATGGAGGTCCTGGACTTGAACCCCATGGATGTCCTGGATTTGAACCTCATATCTAGAAGGCTAAATTTAGTATCCAGGACCTCTATTCTCCACCTTCTTTATATCATTGATGTCCACATGGCTTATGACTAGTTCCTCACCATCACAGCCAGCAGTCTGTCTACACATCTCATGAGGTCCTCTAACGTTGCCCCTAATAGGCAAGCCACTATGTAGTACATGCCAGATGTCACAAACCCAAACATCTGTGTGTCTGTTAATTGAATTCCCCACCTTGGACAACTTGCTTCTGTCTTTTCTATGGGTCCTCTCCCTTGGAGGAGTATCCTTGGTGCAAGAGGACATTATGACATCAGATGGAGGGTGTCTGATCGAAAGGAACACTTCCCTCCTTCTCAGAGACTCCCTTCTGCTTTCCCTCATCCCCTCCCACAGGGATAGCAAATTGACACATCCTTGGCTCAAAATCTATACTACTATTCCTAATCCAAAACACACGGAGATACTAGAGCATCTCAAAGAACAGGTTGCCAACAGAGTCTATCCCCTACCCTTATTTGTGGAGGCAAGCTGAATCATTTTGGCTGAAATTCTACAAAAATATTCACCCTGAGGCAAACATCTGGTATGTTAAAGTTCATCCTGAATGTTCAAAGATTGGCAGTGTTAAAAGCAATTAAAACAGTCTTACAATGGACCCTGTCAGGCAACTTTAATAATGAGCGGTTTTATCAGCGTTAACAGACTCTCTCACAATTAGAAAACTTTTTCTTTAAACAGACATCTCTCTCTTTCTCACACACACACACACGCACACACAGAGAGAGAGAGAGAGAGAGATTTGGATCATATTAACCAAAGCATTGTATTCAAGAGAGAAGGTAAAATACCACCTGATACTTGGTAGGCCTCACCTGAAGAATAGTGTATAGTTTGAGGCATTGCATTTTAAAAAGGATTTAAAGAAGAGGGAGAATACCAAGAGGACCCAGAATACCAAAGATATAAAGGGGCTGGGAACTCAGGACTGAAGAAGCTAGGTATGCTAGGAGGGGAAGTACGATAGCTGTTTTCAGATATTTGAAAGGCTGCTTCAAGGTGGGTGGAGAAATTTTGTTTTTCTGTGCTACAGAGAGTAGGACAACAGTGTGGTTTTAAACAACAGCAAAGCAGACTTAGAACATAAGAACATGGAGCTTGTGGAAGCCATTAAATCTCTCATTGGAGGTTTTCAAGAAGAGCCAGAATAGACATTTGTTTGCCCTGCTGTAGAAAGAGAGCATCCCATCTGTGCCTGGGATTGCAGTAGATGGTCTCTGGGATTTCTTCAAGCTTTATCATCCCCATGTTTAGAGCTGGTATGCAAGTGGAGCTTATTTTTCAGCAGCAGCCTACAGTATACCATAGAGCCAATGGAGACAACCCATTTTCCATTACATTGAGGAACAGTTCTCTGCACTGCATCTAAACATTTCAGCCCTGCTAATGAATTGTTTGTTGTCGGTGTGATGCCACATGATAATTTTGCACCCTTATGCATAGATAGTATGGTGACTTCACTAATTTTTGCACAGGACCCCTGCTGTATTCATGGCACAGGATGAGCCTGTCCTGTGAATGCATCAGGATTATGTCATAGAAAAAGCTCATAGTGAATAAGTTAAGGCACTGGGGTAAGAAAAGTTCTCATGATTAAAGCAGTTGAATGGTGCCCTGGGGATTTTTATCCTACCTCTGCCATAGAATTTGTGTGATGCTTGTCAAGTGACTTAAATCAAACTTTTTCACACCGGATCAATCCCTGTGTGCTTGTTCTAAACTATAGACTTAAAATTAGGACCCTTTTTACCTTACTCTCTGTGCCTCAACTCCTGTAATAAAGGATAACATTACCTCCTTACCTGTCAAGTGTTTTGTAAAGATAAATTTGTGACGCACTCATACTGTACTGCACTGAGGAGTGCCAGAGAAAAATGCATGAAGAAATGAATAACTGTATCTTCAGAGTAGTGGTTGGATAGTTCAGTAAATAAGGCATAAGGTCACACATGTAATAATGAGGATGAAATAAAATATTGCTATTCATTAACTGCCTCTATCCATTTGACCTACAATGTATATTTTATGTATATTTTATAATGATGCTAGTGCATTATGTTTTCATGAACATGTCCATTTAGATAGGTTTATGACTTCAATGGTGAGAGGATCTGTTGATTTACAGAGTGAGACTAGAAACTGTATATTTTAATACGTGATAGAAGCATATAAAATAACATTATAAAATAATGTTGAAATAAACAGTCAGTGGTCATGTTTAGATAAATGTTTTGTTGTAAGCCTAAATTCTCACATTCATATTTTATTAACACCAGCTAGTGAAACAACTCCATCTGTTCTGTCTGAACACCTTTCTTCAGTCTCGGGCACTGAGTGTTGAATTCCCAGAGATGATGTCAGAAGTGATTGCTGCCCAACTACCCAAGATTCTTGCAGGGATGGTGAAACCTCTCCTTTTTCACAAAAAGTGAAATGTCTTTTCTCTTATTGTAGAGATGATTTTTGTGCCTTTGTTCGTTTGTTTATTTTGGTCAGGATTTTGCAGTGTCAGGACTTTAAGATATTCGTTTTATTTACCTACCGCCTTACACCTGTAACATACAATTGCTCTGTAAGTTTGATGTACATATTGTGAGCTCCTGATTCCTTTTACTGTTGAAATCACAATTATCATAAGATATATTTTGTAAGTTCAAATAGGTTGCTCCTTAGGAATGCACAAGAACGATAATGAAATGAACCTTCAGATTTCTAAGAACAGTTTTCTTAGACATTTTTCTTACATAATATTCATTTTTAAACTTCTGCTATGACATGGAGTAAACCTTCTGCAGTAGTGTATGGGTATGGTGGGCATATGTATAAATACAAACATTTGAAGGAATTAAAAGGTATATTGCTCACATTTACTTATGGATACACCTTTTTCTCATTAACCTGCCTCATAGAAGTAGCATTTCAAAATACAGCACCCAGGTTTAGACAGATAGTATATTTGGACCTTCACAGGTAATTAGCATAGTGAAAGCATAATTTGCATTCATATATATGCATGTCTGTGAAGAAGTTCTCCCTTATATATTGGAAGGGCATGGGAAACAGCAACTTGCACACCTCCTATTGAAACCCCTGTGTGTACTCATACACACGCAAACAGACGCGTCTAGTTTTTGCTCTTACTGTTTTTTATCAGCATGGCAGTTATCACTAAAGTTAAGCCACTTGGCTCTAATTTTAAAAGTTATAACCTCTAAAATGTATTCATATAGTCCCTGCTAGGTCTGTTAGAAGCTTTAAATATATTTAATTTACATGTCTTTACAACATTTAGAAGTCTTTTGACTGACTACATACATTAGTGATCTTAACATGTTATTGGATATGTTAAAACTCAACGAAATCAAATTATAGGGCAATCAAATGCACAAAGAAATGGAAATAATGACCACCAGGTTTTTGAAATACACCAGTCCATTATAATGCCATTCAGTGGAGTCATATCATTTACAAAGACCTGTTATAACAGAGATAATGTTGAAGGAGGTTACTGTGACTGGGAAACCAAGTAGAGTAGAAGGATATAATTAAAGAGGATATCATAGTGTTTACAGTGGGCATGAAATGTTAATACTAACAGACCACAGTGTGATTTTTTTTTTTTTTGTTCCCTCAGTTATGGGTATGAAAATACTCACAGATCTAATACAGGTCAGCTGTGTGTATGTTCAAATGAGAGAGGAATGGAGCAAGGCAAAACAAAAGTAGCCATGAGGCTGCAAAATTATGATTACAAGATTTGCTGAACATTAAAAGAGAAAGTGATTATAGTCTACCCATGGAAGCTAGAGTCACGATTCTCAAAAATTCCCAGGAGAACTTCTCTGGAGGATGGCAGGATGATCAGTTGTCTCCTTTTAGAGATGTGTAAGAAAATATTGCACATAAAAATCATTAAAAAATAGCCCAATATTGGAAAAGAGAAGAGGCGGGATACAGAAAATGCTATAGATGTACTTTTCTGTTGGATAGCCTAGCCTGACATCTTAACTATCATTAGACATTTAAATAATTTTAATTTTACTGGCACAGCCAGACTATAATATGAATCTTCATGGCAATTGCCTTCTGAACTTAATAAGTATTTGTTTTAGCATAATGGGGGTGTTTTGTATTTACATTACTTATTTTATTTTAGCTAATTCCAGATGCTTCCTTCCTTTTTGGCCATTAATATGTTGCATAGTAACAACAGTCCAGTAAACTATCTGAGAAGCCAAATGTGTTGGCAAGATTTACCATTCACTGATCTACTGTTAAGTGTCATTAAGCTATTGTCACACACATCCTTTCCCATGCTATAAAAAATTAGGAATACTATCTCTGAATATAGAAAGGGGAGCAGGGAATACAATAACCTTAAAAATATTCAGGCTACACCAAATGTTAATCAATTTCTTCAGAGTGGTCAAAGTAGGCACCACCTTACTCTGTTCACTTTTGTAGTAGATATATGGCAGATATCCTTAGAACAGTTCAGACTTGTCTCAAAGACATCATCAAGAAACTTAAGTTGAAATTATTTTCTGTGAGAAAATACTAAAACCTGAAAAGAAAGTATAAAAAAATACTTCTGGATTTCTAAAGAGTTCCCATTGCATCATACTCATTATGACTTATGCATAAAAAGAATCTGTCTAAGTTTGGTCTTTGTACCATTTGCCAATCTGGATCATCCAAAGGCAAAATAGATTTGATTTGTGCACTTCCAGCTTTGATTCCAGTGTAGTTCCTCTAGCTGTTTTATTCCCTGATTTGGTACCATCACCTGGCCTATATTTTAACCTACTCTATACATGATCAGAATATGTAGAACCTGCTTGTATACTACACGGCTGCAGGCTTGGCCAGCGATCCAGCAAAAACTACAGTTAACAAACCTAATTTTCTTAGGAGCTGCAGAGTAGTAATGGGCTTTAATAAAGTTTGTATAAAGGTCTTCTCTATATAGCTGTTTATATAGCTTGGTCTAAGATAAGGGACATTTCTTAGCTTGCCAGCTGCAAAAGCTCTAAAACTGATATTATATTTAGTGACTGTAAATATTAGACAGTCTCATAATTCTGAACTTCTCACATTGCATTTTGCAGACTCAAATGTCTGACTCGTGTTCTGGCCCTTGGCATTGAACATGAATAGCAGAGCAGTCAAGCACACAGACAAGAGACATTTAAAAGTCTTAAGTGAGACTTCTAAGGAGAGGGCAATACTAATGAAAGTGTTTCCCATTTTTCCATATTTTGTAAACTGGGTTTAAATCTTAGTCTCTTACATATTTGCACCTTCCTCTATTTCATATGCTTTTATAGTGTTTTCCTATGCTGATTCAGTCTAATCAATGCAGGAACCTTTGACTGATATTTTAAAAATTATTTTGGGAGCAAGTGTGTGTGTCTGTGCACGTGCATGTGTGCACACATATACAAGTTTATACAAATGATTGATTTTTAAATTAAAATACCTGGGGCCTGGGAGCAGCAGCAATGTTTGCAATTGGAAAGCTGTAACAAAATATTGGTGACAGTGAACAACTTCCCAGTTGTAGCAAATTAGCATTCTCTGCCATATATGGCCCGAAGCTATTTGCAGTCATACTTACCCTGGTTTAAGGTCAGGAAGATCAAAGGATTTTTATTGTCAAAGATCTCAGACAGACCAAGTGTACAACTGACCTGTATTTTTTTTTGCTCATGATTCATTACACAGGAAAGCGTGGTCTGTTAAAAGTTGATTGCTGGGTTTTGGATCAGGCAGGCTAGGCTCGTGTAATGAAATTAAACTTCAATAGTTTTAGACTGTGGCTATTCCTGCAGCTGTATTGAAGCAATGTTTTCTATGATCACATTTAAAAATATATATTTCAGCTCTGAGCCTAGAATTCCTAAGTAGCATAGGACTGAATACAACCTTGTGTTCCTATTGTTTTCGTTAAACTATGGGAATGTCCATCTCACAATGTTAATACAGTTAAATAAGACAGATTATAGTGCCTCCCTACAGCCAAAAAAAAAAAGGTTTGGGGCAAGGATCCAGCTATAGGTGGTGAGACGAGACTCAGGATCCAACCTTCACTGGTTTTAACTTGAATTTAATTTAGAAATGTTCCAGCAAACTAAGGATTGGTGGTACAGAAAGGTCTGCTAATAGCTGTCTTGATTCTTAGCTGCTCTCAGCTGTGTGTCAATCTAAAAGCAAAGAAAACACCTCTGCGATGGTCATGGCAGTAAACACACAATACTGAAAATAACCCCCTCTCCCATGGTCCATTGTCCTGGGAAATGGTATTGGGAGGAAGGACAGGAGGTCTTCTGCCAGGTATAGTAGCCTGTGTGAATAGTTTAGAGTATATTTGCAGTGTGGGGGAGGAAAGTGATGAGTTCAGTGGCAAAGATACTGTAGACCAGAGCTTTCCAAACTGTGTGCCGCGACACATTAGTGTGTCGGTGGCAGTGTGTAGGTGTGCCGCGCGAAATGCAGAAAATTTTGCGGAAGGGCACCGCGGAGCTCCCTTACTCGCGTCTGCTTCCCTTGGCCCCTCCCCCGGAACTGAATTACTGTGTCGCGAAATGATGCATGTCTAAAAAGTGTGTCACCAACATGCAAAGTTTGGAAAGCTCTGCTGTAGACCCTAGGAAGATGTCAGTGGACTTTGGAGGGCTGGTGCTATGCTATGCCGTGCCTTGTCTTTTTTTTTTTTTAATTCTACTTTCTCTTTGTGGGAGAATATCAGAATTATTGAAACTACCTGCAGACAGGTCTATACCCGGTGTAAACTGGCCTATGAAGTCAAATAGGATGACTATAGCAGTTAAGGACCTGTTTCCCAGACCACTGAATCAATGTTCTGAAAGCTTTAAGCTTGTAGAGTTCAGATAAATAAGTGTTCCTGGAAATTAGCCTGGGCCAGAACTGTCTAATTTCTACTGTTGCAAAACAGTGACTCCCAGATTAACATATCTCCTGGACTGGAGAGCTGTAGAGTGCAGGAGGCAGGGTGCAGTTTTTCTTTAACTCTATTTCCTCTCTTCTCTACAGTACCACAATTCCAAACGAAAGCATTTTGTCCCACCCATATCCGTTAGTGGCAGGGGGGGCCATCTTTCCCTTGGATAAGTCAGCTTGCTGCCACTGAGCCAAACATCCCAAACTCAACTTTCCACGGGCTCAGAAGACTAAGAATGTTCTACCAGAATAGATTGTCAGCCTTATTAGATTTACTAGTTTATGCTGCTTTGTGTCATGATGACCTGAGTGTTGAGCACAGGGTTTGTTTTTAATTTAATTCTCTGTTTTCCCATTTAAAGATAAAAGGAAAGAAAATAAGATTGTTTTAAAAAAGCCTGTTATTTACATGACAGCCCAGTTTTACAAATGAAC